AGCCACGGTGACCCCAGACTGGCAGCAGAGACACCCCGAGTGCTACTGTGAAAAACCAGAAAGACAGGCTTCACCGCCTTTGGGGAAACAGCTGGGGGCTATCCAGATCTCTTATTACAATTCTGACTAAGCAATGATGCGTCCCACAAAACTTCATTTTCTTTTTTTTTTATTCCAAAAGCACTTAAGTAAAAACGGTTTAAAAATATTATACATGCTGTTTCAGTTTCTCAGAGTGCTACCTTTCCATGGACTAAAAATACAAAACCAGAAAACCCCTTCCACTCCTGCACAGTTCTTTTCCTCAGAAACCAGGCCATTTCAATACCCTGATTTGTTTCCTCTGCAGGCTGGGATAACCCAGGCGCCCATCACCTAACCAGTGTGCTGCTCCGGCAACCAGCGCTTGACGTATAGGTCTGGCAGTTACATCCCTGTACCAGGGCTCGGCAGTGCTGTGAGGCCTCCGTATGAGCCCATCCGTGCGTAGGTGCGCTTAGCGTTATTGTTCCTTGCAGTATTTTCTTCTTCTCTGATCCAAACTGATTGCAGAGGAGACCACGAGCTGTTGCTATCATTCTCTTCCATTAATGTGCTGCTTCCTACACCTTGAGGCCACTTTATCAATAAGGGTGCTCACCCGGGAGGCAGCGGCCCTCCTGGGATCCCATGCTGCTGCCCACGCTCTTCTGAGCACCTGTCTGGATGCCAGACAAGACGCTGCTTCCTACCAGGCCTCTCAACTCAGAGGCCACAGAGCATTTCAGAAATTGCACTCCCTCTGAGCTGAGCAGCCTGTAGCAGGCATAAATACAGTGAGCACAAGCAACCTGTGACTGAACTCAAAAGGAGTAATGTGAGGAGTAGCTGCCACTGTGTGGCCGAAGACATTCCCTCAACCAGACTGAAGGAGATGAGAAAAGGAGTGTAACAGCTGTGGGAAAGAAAAGCAAATATTGAAATGAGCAGATGTGTTACCAGCCTCAAAAAAAACCCAAAACAAAAAGACAACCCTAGAAAGATTACAGAAGCGGATCAGAGCAGAGAATCTGTGAACATCTGGAAGAAAGAAGAGCTGACTCTAACTCTGCATATACTTTCTCTGGGTTCTTAAGGATGTCTGGCCAGCCGACCGGGGAGAGCTTGTTAATAGGGGCTCAGTTCTGCATGGCTGCACAGGCACCCAGCTCATCTGTCGGGGGCTGAACCGTCTTTATCTCAGTTGCCAACTGCTTGACTGTCTGCTACTCGGGCTGTGGCAACATCATCATCACCGGCAGCTCCCCTATGAGGTAGGTAGTTCAGCTGTGCAAGGATCATTTATCCTTTCAATGGCACATCAAAGCCTTATCATCAACCTTTTTAAAAACCTGACATAAACATCAGAAGACTAAGCTTTAGGCTATCTAAAAAGGTTACCCCAAATCCCAGTACCTGCTTCTGTCAGAGAACACCTAATATCCCAAGTGCTATCACACAGGTGAGAAAACATTGACCATCTACAAAAAAAGGGGCACATATCTCCCAGCTGAGTGTCATTGACAAGTCTGTGTACCTTGCTCACGAATACAGACGACTTGGTAAAAAGTCCAGTAAAATTAACAGAAAGGCTTCTCATTGACTGAATGGGATTTAGCATCATTCTGAGACAGGTAGTAACTAAGTCCCAAATGCTAACAACCTTCTTCCAGAGACAAGCATAACCACCCCATTAAATAGCCATAATCCAACATTCTACTTAATGTTCTTATGGCGACAGTACAACCGGGTCCCACCGTATGGGAGCAATTTCAAAGTTAGCCTATTGCTGTTCTCTGTAATTGTAGCGTAAAGAGTAAGAAGTCTGAGAGAACAAGAAGGAAGATACACTGATCTTCAGATTTCCACAGAGATCAGTTTGAGCTGAAGAGAAAAACAGAGAAGTCTCTACAGTTCTGTTTTCAGCCGTTCAGAAGTGATCTCGCTGTAGCTCTTCCTCCTCTTCACTTTGTAAGTCAAGGCTTGGGAATATTCAGACAGCAGATGCTCCCAGTAGCAAGAGACATCCTCCATCTGCAAGTGCTCGGTGATGAATTGGCGTCCCCTAGAGACACACAAGGCACAGTCAGAACCAATTTCCAGTTCCTACAAGAGTCTTTGGGTTTGTTTTATATGTATATCAACTTTCACTCTTCTGTGTTTCAAATGAGAAACAACATGCACTGCTCTGTACCGTCTATTTTAATTTCACACTGTTCATTCATGCTCACAGCTCTGACAGTTGCAGTGCTTTTGTTACCCTCAAGATGGTATTTGTTATCTGGGATAATAAATATCAGATTTCACATATCAGATACAGCCTGAGCAGCACTGATGCACGCTGCTTCAGAAGCCAGCCGCTGCCAGCCTGGATACATAATGCTAATAATGCAGACACAGTTCCCAGGGGTCAACTCGCCTCATACTGAGACAAAAGTTCCAAACTTCTGATAGCTTTCAGTGGGGTTCCCGACGTGGGTCACATCTGAACCAAAGACCTAACCATATCATCTTGTTCTCCTGTTCCCCCTGCTTGTTACGAGTTCTCCAACTCTCCTGCTGTTATTGCAGAATATCAGTTGTACTGCACCCTATTAATACTAGGCTGTCTTTGATAGATAACCCCTTCAAAAGCTGCACAAGAAAATGCTTTGGAAGAAGACTGCCTGATAGCCAGAAAGGACACACCACTTACCTCTCTGAAATTTCTTGTGCTATGGCATCATTTTCCTTTACAAATTGCAACAGCTCCCTAAAATGAAGATCAAAAAAATGCTATGAAACAAGTAGCTCAATGGAGAACTCTGTCCCTTAGCTAAACTATTGTGGAGGGTGAGTTTAAGGATCCACAACTGAGTGAGGGACTGGTGCTCCTCATTCAGAGCACAGAAGAAACCTGCCATTCTCTGTTGTTCTCTATCAGTTCTGGTCGGCATGCTGAAATCTGGGAGCTAACACATTTTTGGCCGAGTGATACATTCCTCTTTCCCCCATCTGTGCTGCAGGGCCCACTAGCAAATTTAAGTGCCTAGTGCCTGCTGATTTCAGTGAGGGTGATAGACCTCCATACCCCAGTGAAACTGTACTCTAAGTAATATGAGCAAAGTATTCTTTGGGGGCACTAATAAAGAGAAAAGAACATGACCTGCAAGAGCCTTTGTCTGATGCCTAGGAGTGGATGCACTTCTTAGTGTAATACAAACCAAATCGCCTTCCCAAACACAGCTGTGTGTTCCTGTGGCATGCAATGCTCCACTAAGCACACTTGGGGTCTCACACCTGACATTAGAGAGGTCTGATCGGACTGGGATGTAGTGGACCCAAGGCTTCAGCTGGGGGTAGAAGAACTCCAACCACTCTTCTCCAACGTGAAAGACGAGTGAACCGCACAAGAAAAGGTGTTTCAACCGGAAACTGGCAGCCACTCCCCGGAAATTAAACAGATACCTTTAAAAGGATAAGCAAAGAGAAGGACCTGATTACACTTGGCATTTTGCACTACGGAAATGCACTAAGAAACTAGGCTCTGAGTAGCAGCCAGCCTTCCCTCACAGGTAGCAGCTGGGGGGGGTCTCCCTCACACTGAGCCAAGCACCTGTTGCTGAAACGAAGGGAAGACATTTATTTGAAGCTCCTCCCATGAAAGGTAAGCTAAGTTAAGGACATGCTAGGTGAGTTTCTGCTGCCTGTCAAAACTGAGGCTGAAAATCAAGGCATGCTGCTTTACCTCTGATAAAGACACCTGCTCGTGACAAACCAAAAGAGTCCTCACTGACAACTGCCAACAAGGCATGGAAGGTCACAACTTGGATGCTGATCCTGTGACTCTTCACTTCAGAGACTCTGTTACCACAAGGACCTTCTTCCCAATTCTCTCTTATCTTGCAGTGAGCTTTTCTGTTCATTGTTCTGCTTTGCCGCATCTCTCAGTTCTTTTTTTGGTTGTTTTGGTTTTTTTTTTTTCTTTTTTCTCCCCCTCTGGCATCCTGCTTTAATCTGAATCTGGGAATGCAACCCTAGGAGGTTAAACAGGCTAGCACACAACAGACGGACTTTGCAGATAACAAAGAATCCACAATTTTGTTTTCAGTATTTTCTGCCAAGTTAGTAAAGTGGGCTTGGCTGGGGGAGGATTTCTCTTAGAAAACTGTATCTCAGAGGGATGTTTGTTTACTTACTTGCTTGCTTTTTTAAACCCACATTTCTCCAATTATATGGAAAGCTGTTTTTCCTGTGGGTAAAACCCCTCAGTACATATAACTAATCTTTGAAGTCAAACATTTTGGGCTGGAGGAAGGGAGTTCTTCCTTTAATGAAGCTATTTTGGGTGAGATGGGGATTATGTATTATATACATTAGGGGTGAGATGGGAATTATAGCTAAACTTAGTTCAGCAGTAAGTGACAAGGAGTAAATCTGAAATTATTTTGCATTCTTTGTATTACCTAGGAGCTCAAGGCAGGGATGAAGAGCTCGTTGCATTAGGAACTGAACAAATACATGTAGAGATGTAATAAGAACAGTGGTCTGGAAGCGAGGAAATGCCTCTGTCCAATTCCAGACACAGCTCCCACCATCCGTGACCTCAGCCAAGTCACTGAGGGCTGCTCGCAGACAGCCTCCTATGGTACCTACACTGAAGGAAGCAGTGAGAAGTTCATGTTGACCCTACCATTCCCTGGGCTACAACAGAAGTGTGTGAGAATGTCTCAGCCTATACTGTACGAGGGCCTTAGGAGGCATCAGGAGTTGGGAAGTCTATGTGTAACAGAAGGGAGAAATCTGGGCAACAGTCTAGTGAAATATAAAATGAGACAAGTCAATCACATTTGCGCAAAAACACAGATCCAGCCAAATGACTGAGCTCTTATATCAGCAGATTTTAGCTGGTAGAATCATAACTAAGTAATTTTAAAGCAAAAGAAAAAGCAAAACATCAGACATACAAGTGCATACACACTACGAGTTTATATTTTTTACACAGAAACCTACAAGAATATTACACCAAAAACCCCTCCCTAAAGTAGTTAAAAAATAAAAACCTTTGTAAATCAAAACCGCATTCTCCCAAACAACATACAAAGTATGAATCAATACTATATCTGCTCAATCATATTTCAGGTTCTCTCTTTTACTATACATAGCCAATGGCAACTCTTGCCCCAGTATGCATATGAAGACAGGATTCCTTGGTTCCTTATGTCTTTGAAGACAGTAATACTATCACTGTAGCACTGAAAAAACAATTTTGAACACACAGCTGGTACAGGAATATAAAGAAAAAATGACAGAAAGGCTTTTTGATTAAAATAAACCAAAATTTTCGATCTACGCTTATTAGCGATCCACGACCTTTACCTTCCCCAAAGCACTTTATTTCTTCTGACCTGACAGGGGAAAGCTGACACTGAAAGAGGCCATGCTAAGCTCCCAAATTTTCAACTGCCTTAAGTCTGTTCACAAGCTTTCTGGTCTGCATGGAGCTGGTTGCTGGAATTAGCCCTTAAAATAAAATGAGACCTTACACCACACAAGGAAAGAAATAACCCATAGCCCTTGAACAGCTTTACTAATCAAAACTCTTACTTGTATTTGCAGTGATCAACCAGTGGAATTTCCTTTGCAGGAGGCTTTCCTAAGGTGTCCTTAAAATAAAGAGAATTAAAAAAAAAAATCACTAAGCTTTATATGGTGATTTCATATTTGTTCTCCTTCTCAATTAGAAACAAAGCTGAAGTCTCAAAACCCTCCATTCCCACTTCTGAGAAAACCTTCTCTGGTGGGCTTTTATAAGCGTTATGAAGAACTCCCAGCCTTTCAAACAAAAAAAAAAGTTCAGCAAATTACATGCTGCCTGTAAGCAAATGCCAGCACAAACACATTAAATGATAATGTTAGTTGGCAGCTACAGAGTGGAAAACAGCTTGGGACAATGGACTATGCGAAGCCGGATTAGCCAAGACTCTCTGGAGAGAACTGGACTGTAGACTACGTATGGAACTAAAAAGTTATCAGCAACAGTTATCAGAAAGTTATCAACAAGACCAAGAAATGGAGATGAGAGAAAAAGATTTAAAAAGACTGACACCACCACACAGGCAGCTTGGGGCTAGAAGGGGAAGAATTGGCTAATCTTGTTGTAATGGAAGAGGGATTGGCACAGGTTCGTTTTCTTATGCATGCTGGTTTCCTTGAACAAGAAGTGTAGATGGAAGAAAAATGTTTGGCCTGCCAGGCTCTAGAGACTCCTTCCTTTCATCTACCAGAGAGATGAGGCCATCAAGGGAACTACAAGCCTCCCCCACTCTAGAGGATCACCCACAACTCTCCAACAAGATGCATCTCAATCATCAAAGCCATCTTGCAATGCTACCCTTTCTGGCCTTCACACTCAGGAGACAGACAACACCCACACACCTTCTCAGATTTCCAAGCCTGGTTTTTAGTGTACTCAGCATCAACAAGTTCTGGGTTTTCTCGGGACAGCAGAATGAGGGGATCTCTCTCAGGGCTCGTTCTGCAAAAGAAATGCTATCAGTCATTGCCAATCCACCTGACTCAACACAGCTAACAAACTACAGGACTAAAGATCCTGCCTCTTTATGAGGCTGACCTCCCTATGTCCCCCAATAACATTATTAAGTGCCTAACGTACACCCTTGGACAGAAATACACTGTATTAGCAAGAGAATGAGTTAAGTGTACCGAAATGATTTGAGGCCCTGTTTCTTTATTTCACTTACTAAATATTTAATAGTATTATTTAAGCAGGACAAATCAGCAGAGATATTTCCTTCAGGCATCATCCTGACGGGTGCCAAATACTTTAACTCCCTTCTAAGTCAGAGAGAGCTAAGAGACACTAAGCATCTTCAGCACTTGATCCCTCCGACACTAATTTAAAACACTACTGATAAACAAGGTTACGACATTCCTGAGACTCACTCATCGTCATCTCCTGAGCCTACCTAGTAAGATATCAAATCCATCCCTACTGGGGATGGAGAAGGAACAAAGTGTTGGAGGAACAAAAAGGAGTAGGGGTTAACACTGTTTTTAAACCGTCACTGGAGAGAGGGCAAAAATAATATACTCTCTTATTCCCCACTACTCATGTAACTTAATCCAAGAATACTTGTTGATTCACTGTCGAGCACTGCCATAGAGAGTGAAGTATTCACATTGGCAAGAAGCATGCACATCAATATCAAATCTTTAAATTTGTGTCATGCACCTGCAGTTCCCCTCACAGAACAAAACAAGCTTGTTCCTAGTGTGACAGTTTTACTCATTAAGAAATAACATAGCAAATCCATCACAACTTCTGTTTCCAATATTAGACTTACTATAATAAACTAGTTGCAAATGGCAATTCTTATGGAGAATCACTAATGGTGAAACGCTGCTGTACAAAATGTCTTGCTTTCTTTACGTTTAAAAAAATACATTCTGGGTTACACCTGTTTAGATCTTGAGGATACAGAAATTTCTGCATACAGACAGCTGTCACGGCATACGTTGGTAGAATCTCCTGTTACAGGAAAGTATGCTCACCTGGATCCTCGGAAATATCCTTTAGAGATTTTTTTCATCCATGGCCATTTTTCTGCAGATCTGAAAATATTGTTTATACATGGCAATAAATGATTTAATATAACCATGAAACAGCGCTCTCATCAGTTTTCACAGTATGATCTCTTTTTATTATTCTTCATTTTTGATGGAAATCACTTTCTTCATCATAGCAGAAAAAACTCTCAGCCAGGTCCAATGAAACAGGTTTTCCTGTGAATATTGTGTTTAAGGCAACATGATATAGGCTACTTTTCAGAATACCTTTCAGTCAAAACAGTGAATTACACACAACCCCCTTGCCAAACTTTTAATGGTATTAAAATTTACCTAAAATTTGCATCCACTTTTTGTATTTTTCTATTTTTCTGTACTTCGCTGAATATAGATAGTGCAAAATGACTAGAGAGTTTCTAACCGCTGTCATTTCCCATTAAAAATACCAAACAAACAACAACAAACAAAAAAAACCCGCCTACTGTTTTGCATTTAAAACACAGGGGTTCATTGTTTTCCCAAATAACTTTCATTTTAAATACAAGCAAGTCCTTCAAAATAGCTGTTCACACGTTTTATTTCTGTCAGTGCAGTCACCTGCCTCCCTCTGCGGAACTCTGTTGTACTTTTCTATTGCACCTGGCTTGACATATAGGTCCTGATCCCCAAACTGATCTGCACAGGTCAAGCTTTGCATCTGTTTGTAACCCAGTGACACAAGTGGGGTTCACTGAGAAAGCAAGGATAAGTAAATGCTTTGGACCTTCATTACACTGTATCACATTAGGTTTCAGTTATGCTTAGTCCCACAGATCTTCAGATTTTGAAGAGGGAAACATTCAACCCTGCATTCTGATGTCAAGTGATTAACATCAAGGTGTTTTGTGTTTTTTTCTTGTTACATTTCTGTTTTCACTCACTGTTGCACACTTTGTCACTCTCCATGGGAAACAGCCCCTTATACTGCTAATAGTCAAAGATCCTGCCAAAAGAAAGACTCCCAGTCAGAAACGTCTTCTGTCTTACTCTTAGCCCAGTAATGACTCTTGATTCTTGGGAATGATTCCAGGTTTCTCTATTGCACAATAATACTCAAGTAAAACCAGATCTAAAGGCAGCTTTCCTTTACCCTTCCAGAAGCTTATACAAACATCCTGGATCATCCCTGCAGTGAAAAAACCACAGCTCCTAGAGAAGTAGCTGGAAACAAAGGAAAATATTTCCATGTGTCAGGGGAGATTTCTGCAGGCAAAAGATAACTGCTACTTTATTGACAAACTCTATCCCACTGAAAATGATAGTAATCTGGCCCTGACAGCATGAAGAATGTGTACACTTTGTCCTCTGCATTCCTTACTAAGATGTTGGAAACGGAGAAGCTAATTATAACTTCTAGTTACATCATCCAAGGTTTCCATGGAGAATTCTTATACAGCAGTTAGGCTGTATGTAGTTAATAAGAGGCAGCAGGACAGACCACAGGCCAACAGACCTATGGTCATAGACTTCAACGTTGGCCCAATGCTGCCCAGTGCTAGACGGCTTTTACTGTGAGTTTGTCTTCCATTAAACCTTCCCACACACATAACCATTTCCGAAACGTACCTTCTGAGGTCCTCTCTCATGAGGTCCCAGCGCCCTAAACCTGTTGGGTAAATTGGCCAAACAGCCGGTCCTCCTTCCCAAAATGTCCAGGCAGGATACATGATATCATTGTACTCAGGTGTCTTAAGAAAAAGGAGAATAATAACACAGTAAGAGTAATATTTACTTCAGTTTACTGACTGAGCTCACCAGCAATGAACATCTCTTCTGGGAATTCTGTCAGCTTTCTCTGTTACTGTTCCATAAGCAGCCATGAGAGCTTTGTGGTCACCACGGTGTTGCTGGGGTTCATAGGAAGACAACCCAGCAGAGAAAAGCCAGTGTATTTCAGCATGCATGCTTGCTCTGAGTGGGCCACTGGACCAGATGACCACCTAAGGCCCTTTCCAACCAAAATGTTTCAATGATTTAAAAAAGGCTATGTCTTGCTGCATGACAACATGGGACTTTAAAAGAAGTTCCACGGTATAGCTGATTAGTAAATAGCAGAAGATCTGAGCTCCACTCACCTTTCTAAAGACTTGTGTCTATGTGTAGCTACAAATGTTTTCTGTTGATCATAAGCTAAGGCGTTATTATCTCCTCAGAGATAGAGGCACTTCTAGACACTTTGACATTTAGACTTGCAGTACTTCAGTTCATTCCAGCCTTCCTAGAGATCACTTAAAAATTCACTGTAACAAATAGCCACATCATGTAAGAATTTCAGTTCCTCAGTCCTATTTGGACACTTAAATTCCCATTTAATCAGGGGGAAGACCAGCACTTAAGACTTAACCCTTTCATGAAACCAGACCACAGGTCAGTTCCTTGTACTAGTAATAATAATAATAATATCCAAATTATCCACATTTCTGTCACCTGGAGATACTGGAGAGAGTCCAAGGCCACCAACATAGTTAGGAGGTTGGTGCACGACATATAAACAGGGGCTGAGGACTGGGTTTTTTCATGCACAGGAAGAGGAGGCTTGGGGGAATCTAAATGCTGTCTCCTACTACCTAATGGGAGAGTTTAGAGAAGACAGAGGCAAACTTTTCAGAAGTGCGCTGAGACAGAAGGAGAGGCAACAGGCTTTGATTACAAGAGGGAAAATTCCAATTAGATATTGGGAAATACGTTTTCATTCTGAGGGAGGTCAAACACTGGGGCATGTGCCCAGGGAGGCTGTGGATGCCCTGTCCTCGGGGATGCTCAGAACTGGGCAGGACACAGCCCAGTGCACCCTGATCTAGTTGGTCCTAGAGCGAGGTGCTAGACTGGGTGACCTCCTGAAGTCCCTTCCAACTTAAATGAGTGTGTGCTTCTATGATCTCCTCCTTCTCAATTTTGCTATAAACAGGCATTGAAAACAAACCATGACAGCTCCACCACCACCCCAGGGTCGGCCTTGCAGGATGCAGAACTGGACAATCCTGCAATCCCTTATGCTTTCAGCCTTAGAAAGCACCCTGGACCAGCATCCTGGAGCCTTCCTCATTCTGGTAGGGACTAACACTGGCTGGTTAAATGTGAGCTACGCTTGGGTGACCGGGTTTCAGTTAACGATAGGGCTGAGGTTACAGTTCAGATATTGGACAACAGTGACCGGAGAACTCAGGTTTTTAGAGGGTCCTGCAAGGCACCCAGGGGCAGGATGATGAATACGGCTGCAAAGATTAAACACCTGCAACCTGCTCCGCATCAGTTTGGGTTCTGCTGGCTAGAGTTAAGGCTGTGCGATTGTGAAGGGGCAAGACAGCTAGCTTTACTACCACATCTGGCAGCGAACATGGTTCTTGAATGACAGTGCTTGCAATGCTGTACTGAAATTCTAGAGAGAGTTTTAGGATGGCTGGGGACTAGGCGATAGTTACAGATTGTATTAGGGTTCAGACTGCACGAGCTGAAGACCTGGGTAAGATGCTACAAGTTAGCCAAAATATAATAGGGCCTGAACTAGCAAGAACAAATAGTTTATGGCTGCTTTTTGCATCTTACTGTCTGCTAGGCTTCAGCCAAGGACAGGATCACGATCAGGGTTAGGTAGCGAGGGTGCAAGATTTGGGCACGTTGGGCATACACTAAGGCAAAGCAAGATTAGCTGAAGCTTGAGGTGTAACGGTACTTTGTTGGAAAGGATGAGACACTACGCTACAGTCAGGTTTAACAATGGGAGAGGCTGGAAAACATATGGGAGGGCTCTCCAGTCTGGGAACAGATATGCAGAGAACGAATGTCTCTGTGTGCGTGCCTCTGCGTGCATGTGGCATGTTTGGAAATGAAAAAGGGAATCCAGGGAAAAAGGGTTCACAGGAGACAGCAATATTACAGAAAAGAAGATAAGAAACACCTATCTGTGGTACCAAAAAAGGACTAAATTATTCGCATTAAATGAGATTAACTGTATGACAGCTGACTGATGATCAAAAATCCTTAATGATGCTGATAAACTATGGATACAATTTTAACAGAGGCATTGTAGCAAATGACAGCGACGCTGGCACATATCCCATCCAGCTGTGCATCATCCCACTGTGACAGAGGTACATTTTTTGACCTGGAAGAGGAGCTAATGATGGGAAAAACCGTTCTATTGAATAAATCTGCAAGTCTGTCTGCCAGAAAACTGGAAATGAAAGGAAACATAGAGAGCAAAAAAGAGCACGCAATTTTGACACACAGAAAACCTGTGGGGAACCACCCTCAAAAATACATTCCCAAGAGAAAGGAGGACTTGCATGTCTCAGAAATGCTCAGCTTTTAAAGGTATGCGCACCTTACTGAAGGAGAAGACCGGGATAATGGGTTTCATCCACTTGGGGACCTGGGGGTAGTCTCGCACATTGATCACCATTTCCATGTCAGGGAGGTGGTTGATGATCCCCAGAAGGAAGTGCTCAACTCCACTGCATCTGTGGAGAAACAACATATGGCAAAGAGCTATAAGGAGAAGGCAGAATCCTGCAGCCTCTTGCAGGCCTTTCTCTCTGCACAGGAGCAGAAGAGATGGTGAGCCTGAGCCATACCACGATGCCGGCTGCCTATAGCAGCCTCTAAGCCCCAAAACAGTACAGACACCAATGAAGCAACCCATCCTGTTAAATCTGTCCTGATCTGCAGCTTTCTCTGGGACCCCACAACCAATCAACCTTTTCTATGCTGAAGTGCAACAATGACACTTACCTCTTGCTACATTTAAGCCCCATACATAATTTTCTAGGCTCCTGCTCTGATAAGGAATTCAGAATTTTGAAATATCATTGTGCTCAATGACTTTCAACTTGGCAGAGTTGGAAGTACTCCTGTGTCCCAGCTAGGAAGACGAGATCTTCTGCACAGCTCTTACCTCGCAGGGAACAAGCAGTCCTGCTCACGGTACAATTTGTTCTTAATGATTTGGTAGTGTGTCCCGAGCTTCCGGCTCACCACATCTGATATTATTTCCTTGGAAATGCCACCTCGAAAAGGAGCCAGGTCCTGCTTCCAGACACTGAAACAAAACAATCAGCCATTATTATGTACAATAGGAAGGAGGCTGTGCATTAAATTAATGCAGTATATGAAACCGACTTCTAGTTAAAACAAGCTCTGTGTAGCTTCCAGGAGTTCTGCTATATGTGGCATAACGGAGAATTTAATTTAAGTCACTTGTAAGGGCTGTTACTCAGAGACTCAAAGGTCCAAGCTTCACTCTTTGACTATCTATGTGCTGTTTACCCAAACAGAAAGCTCAGCACAGGACTCTGATGCTAAATCAACATGGACAACTCTAGTTACTCTCCCTGAAAGCACCTTACATACCCTGGCAGGTTATGGGTAAAAGCCTTCAGCTCACTTAACCTTTGAGTTGCAAAGCCTGTGTTCTGGCCTTCCATGAATGATTGGCCACACCAAGACCAAATTCCTCACACAATGTCATGCTATTTAGACATTTAAGAAGAAGGTGAGGGTCTAGTTGCAAGAAACAGCATTGTCCAATAATGCTATGTGCAGTGAAAGCCAGCCGAGGAAGACAGGCCTACATAGCATGTGTTCTGTGACATCTGCACATTACCAGTGAGCTCCAGGAATGCAGTATGAAAACATAAACCTATAAGAAATATAAAAAAATACAGGAGGAGGATGCAGTTTATATAAATTTAGTCTAACGGTCCTCAGATCTAACTGCTTGGAGCATTTAACGAACACTGTCAGATTGTAACAGCCGTGGAGACATCCTCCCCACTTTTTGGCAGACACTGCACCAACGCCTTAGTTTAATACAACACTGTCGGGGTGGTCAAATACTGGCACAGTTTGCCCCGAGAGGCTGTGGAGTCTCTATTCTTTGAGATATTCAAAACCCAACTGGACACAGTCCTGGCAACCCTGCTTGAGCAGAGGTGTTGGACTTAATGATTTCAAGAGGTCCCCTCCAACCTCCAGGATTCTGCTATTTTGTAATCAGGTGGAAAACGGTTAAACTACATAAAGAATTGCCACTGAAATGATGGGCTGACCACAGGATAAGCAGTCTGGCAGGGACGCAAACGTAATGAGCTTGAGAACAGGAAGAAAGTTGCACATTCATGTCATTATAACCTAAGGTGTTCTTCCCAAAGTGGGCAGGAGATGGTGGAGTGTATGTTTAAAAATCAGGAGACGTCTTTAGGCTGTATCTGAATTGGAACTAAGGAAAAAGACTGGAAGGCTAAACTAGAAGAGACTTTTCCTCATCAATATTTCAAGAGCAATAAAGATCAAAAACACCAAACAGAGCATACAAACGGTTGCCCAGTATGACTCATCTGATAGTAAAAGCCGATAGAGCACTCATCTCACCCCCAAAATGAATGAGCACATCTGGTATTTTTTAAATAGGAAGCTTAAAGTTGGGCATCTGTGTTTCTGCATTTGGAATGCAAAACCTAAGGACAAAAGGGTATTTTGACTCTTCCCTGTATTCCCTCTTCCCCCTTAAATAAAAACATTGCTTAAAGATATCAGAAAAACCCAGTCCTACAGTCCCTACCCACGTAACAGTGATGACCTACGCACCTGTAATATTCTCCATGCTGAAGTCATGCTCTACCAGTGGGAACAGAAGTGAAGTTTGGTTTGGCTATGTCTATACTTGTACTGCCTACAGTTGTCTTCCATCCACACATAAGTCTCTAGCTCTCTGCACTAAATAACTCTAGGAAGATTAGGCAAAGTGTGACATTTTGCATAATGCTCCATAGTCATAAAAAAATAAACAGGACTTGTGTCTTCCTGAATGAGCTCCTCTTGGATCATATTTTGGTCATGTGAAAATCAGGTAGTTAAATATCCACTGCCACTCCAATTCTCACAAGCAGTGAGCTAAACTCCCTAGAAAGAGCACTCCTCCAATTCTCCCCTCCCGTCTTCCACTGGAAGCCCTGTCCGAGCACAGGGAATGAGCAAAGCACAACACACTATCACACCAAATGAATCTGTGTTCTGTAACAACCTTTCTTAATCTAGCTATTTTAAAATATTTTGCACATACTTGATTTCTTCCACTTTTAAAAGCCCACGAGAAAGACTTGTCAGCAACATTGCACTGAGAGAGAAGGCAGAAGTGGATTGTTAACCCAGAAATATCACCAACTGCGTATGGGTTTATTGTGTGATCATATATGAAATGCTGACATAGTGTATGTTGTTCAACCACAGAGGACAACAAGGAGAGTGATCAGTTTGGAGGTGAACACACCTTCTATTGGAACTATGGAGGGCAACCTGTTTCACTCAGTGCCATTAATAACCTCCCTCTTGCAAGCACCATAACCTATGATGGCTACAGATACAACACTTTAGAGCCCATATATTCTATCGCTAATTCCCACCCATCAGGGCCGGCAAAAGTATTCTCTCTCATGGCCCGTGCAGTCAAAAGGAAACCAGTCTCTCACCTTTGGTGGCAGCTGCAATTCTCCTTTACACACGGCTTATAGACTTCCACAGCTTTATTAATTTGGTCAGTTATTGCCTTCCATTTGGCAGCTAAAATACGCAGGAAGGAAAAGTCACAGGAATTAATCCATTAAACTACCAGAGCAACTAGCGGGAGCTAAACATGAATTCTGGTCCAGCTAGCGATAGCAATGCACCACGGTCCCGCAACACACTCCGGTTCTGCTCCGGTCCATGCAGCTCAACCAGAGCGTGCCTAAAGCAACCGGGAGAAAGAAGAGGGGCCCAGCTGCGCCCACGGAGGGGCCACCCAGCTGAGGCGGGCCGGGGAAGGGGCAGTGGGTCGGGCACCCCGTGACGGCCCCCGGGCTGAAAGGGAAGCCGGGAGGAGCTCCCCGGGCGGGCGTAGGACGAGGAGG